GCATAGTTTCAGTTATGTGTATCTTTCTATCCAGGTGTTCCATTTGCTAGTCCAGAACTCATACAGCTTCCACGTGACACACATGATGCAGCAGCTTTTCTTAAGAGTTTCAAAAGTGCTGTGAGTATTGGCTGTTGTTTGTTCATTCTTATATTTATTTTTTTGTCTTTATGTTGTAAGTGATCTTGATGATCTAACTTCCTTCAGCTTTGTCAAAGAAATGGGGGTAGAATCTCAGAATGTGTTAAAAAGACATGTTTTGGTGTGGAGTCAGTCCAGAGACATATTTAGCATCTCTGCTAATCATGTAATGTTGTCTTATTTCAGAGAGGTTTTACCGTGGCCATCAGCGTTCAAGATGGCACTGTTCTTCATTTATCACCAGCTGTCACAGATGTCCTTGGCTTTCCCAAAGATATGCTTATTGGGCAGTCATTCATAGATTTTGTGTATCCAAAGGATTCAATTAACTTCTCATCCAAAATCATCCATGGGTTGAACATGCCTTTTAGAACCGACTCTATTAAAGGTAAGATAACCTGTTTGAAAAGTTCATTTTCTTAAATATATTAAAGGTATAAAATTGTGCCTGTGTGTGCATATTTAGCTCTTTAGAATGAAAATGTAGAAATTACAGTTATGATCATATAAATAATTTATATTTGTTTGTAATCAATCCAACTTTGTCTACATCTGTATATCAATTCTTTTTAATTTGCAGATAATTACGGCACCTCCTTCTTCTGCCGCATGCGCATGTACCATGGCCTGAAGTCCTCTGGCTTTGGTGTGCGTAATAAGAGAACAATATACAAGCCTTGCAAGATTATTCTGAAGTTCCATGATCCTTCTTGCATGGAAGAGACCGCATCAACGTATGGTCCAAATTCCTCTCTTCTGCTGGCAGAAGTTATTCCAATTGAGAGCGTCTATCATGGTTAGTTATGAGTTTTTGCTCATATTATGGGTAGTTGTATTTATACATGCATGGGTATATATTTAGATGATTATTTTTTTGCATTCATATGGAGGTATATGTGATGTATTTATGGATTTATTTATAATGGATTAGAGATTGATGATTGAATTGAAAGATAGCATTTAGGACTATATATATAAAAATTAATTAAATGTAAGCAAATGTTATAAGATCTTATATGTTCATAGAATATTCAGTTTGAATTTTTAACACTTCTAGCACTTTGTTATTCAATCACACTTATCATTCTTTCAGTACCTGGTGAAACCCCCGCAATGGGTAGCTTTAGCATACGTCATTCGGCTTCTTGCAACTTCTCTGAGTACGATCCAGAGGCCATTCCATATCTAGGACACCTTCCTCAAGACTTGACTGGGAATTCTGTGTTTGATTGTTATCACCCAGAAGATCTGCCTTTGCTGAAGTCTGTGTATGAAGATAGTAAGTAGAGTTTTTATTTGTGTCTAGACGTGTCGGTAATTGATGCTTTCACCCTTCAGGGATAAATTGCACAATAGAGAAAAAAAATAGAAAACAGAAATAAAAAATTACATATATTAGTACTACTAAATTCCATTTGCCACATTTCAGTTGTTAAAGAACAAGGCAAGCCACACCGGAGTAAACCGTACAGGTTCCGCACTTTCAATGGTAGCTATGTCACGCTGGAGACAGAGTGGCTCTGCTTTGTCAATCCATGGACTAAGAAGATTGATTCCATAATTGGTCAGCATAGGGTATTAAAGGTAAGTGATTTTAGAGGCAAATTTTTTCACTTTTGATCATTTCTATTTCATTGATATTGTCTCTGTAATTCTCCATATATTTCCATGATTTAATTTCTAAATGTTTGTAGGCGTGAAATGAAACTGAGGTAATAAGAATATTGAAACTCATAAGATTGATATGACAGATCTGCATGTGGTTGCAACAAATTGTGGGTCATAATATTAATATATTTTTCTTTTCATGTAAAGGGGCCAAGTGATATTGCAATATTCCTTGATCCTACTGAGAAAAGTCAGTCTCCGGTCCCAGAAGAAGTTCTCAAGGAGGCACAGAAAGCTCAAAAGGAAATCATTGAATTATTGGCCAAGGTAATATCATGTTTTCTGTTTTGAGTTACGAGGAATTTGTGTTTTCAGGCAATTTAGCTTTAAAATTTGTATGTAGATTAGAAGGGAAAGGGAATGATTTTGTAAAACCATATTTGCATTTTCATAGAAACTAGGTTAATAAAGGGAGGCATTTTATTCAAATTTTAATTAGGCTGATTTTTTATTTTGATATTTCATAGATAAGATAGGGATTTAGAAATATATGTATGGATATATAGGTAGATAAATATGCCAAGGAAGTTTCAAACTCATAAGCTCACCTCACCAACCTATCCTCTTTTCTCCCCCTTCTCTCTCTCCTTCCTTACAAATCCTTCAGCCTGTAGCCACGTACCGAGACCCTAGTAAAGAACCTCAGGAGATGAGGCGTCGCACCCTGGCCCACATGATGAGCTCAATCGTGGAGGAGCTTGACAACATGGAGAAGAAACAAAGCACAGCTGAAGAAAGGAACATAGACGGACATAGGCCAGGTGGTCGACAACCCCTCAGCATGGTGACCGAGCCAGGCCAGCCCAATGTTGTACGTATCCATATATTTATTACTATTATTTATTTTTTTTTTTGGTCTTGTTACTTTGGATTGTTACCTTTTTTTTTCTTTAAATTCAATTTTATTGATTGCATTCTTACTTTAGATATGACTGTTGTTGTGATTATTATTACAGCAGGTATGATTGTATGTTTATTACAATCAGATTCCATTTGAAGCTGAATATGTTAAAAGAAAAGAGTAAAATGATTAACCCATATGCAGTGGGTGGTTAATTGATGCTGGTTCACTACTAAGTACGTTTTGTACTTTTGAAGACTTTTATTATAGTATTCAGTGTCAGTTGTATGTATAACAATAAGAGGAACAAATTATTTTTGGAGGGGTAAGTTTTTAGGAACTTAGTATGAATTGATGGGATGGGAGGAAGAAGTGTGGATCAAGAGAACAGGGCAAAGAGAGAGAGTTTTAAATGTGGGAATGGTGGGGGATTGAGAAATTTGATTCTCTGGTTTTAGGGCCAGTACAATTTTTTGAGTCATTTTTTGTATTTTTTTCCATTTATTTTTATTAATCAAAAGGGTTGAAACATGTATCATTCCTCTAGGTAATCCATATTTTATGTACATTCATTGAGAGAAATAGAATTTGTTGATCAATAAGCTTATGGTTATTGGTGCAAGTTTTAATGGAATTAGACATTTGATGAAAGTTAAGTACAAAACAAAGGAAGAATCAGTAACCATTGGATTAGGAAAGAATAAATGTAAAGAGATGTATAATGTATAAAGAGATGTATAATTAACCCACTGATGCTAACATAGACAGCTTCAGAAGTGCTTAGTCATCATGGAGTCAAGGAAAAGATTGTGGAAATCAGTTAAGAGGGCAAACATTCATCCCATCTTTACTGTGATTTTTTATTATTGATTTTTAAAAACATAGACAGCTTCAGAAGTGCTTAGTCATCGTGGAGTCAAGGAAAAGATTGTGGAAATCAGATAAGGTCACATATGCCTGCTAATTATCTCCTAGCTGGTTGAGCTCATCTGTTTGCAAACAAAATTCACAAAACAAAACTACAGTAGACAGTACATATACCTGGCACCAATGTATTAATGTTACAAAGATTGTGCAGGTTATTAATACCAGTGATCTATTTTTTTTTCTCTCTTTTTCTTTTTCTTTTTTCGTAGTAGGTACTTATAATAAACTCTCTCTTGCAAGTCACATAACTTCCAGTTCTTGGGCAAATCTAACCCAGACTGTTGAAGTTGATATTCTTTAAAAAGCTTTTTTGCATGGTAAACTTCTGCGGATGAACTTAGTGATAAGCTTGCAGTTTCCAACCACCCAGGACCAAGCATCAGTAGTCATGGGAGAGATCTCTCCTCATCAAGATGACCGTTGTTATGAGTCCAACCCCTCAACCTCTACCCCATCTAGCTACAGCAAGCTCAACTACAATGAAACTATGCAGAGGTACTGTACCATCAAAACAGGTGAAAGAGAAGAGGGTTCGACTTTTTCACACACCTCTGTGCCACTTTGTTTGTGGTACTTCAATACTTGTTTACTTTTTTTATGTAAGTAATTTTGTGCCTAGAGTACAGGTGTGGCAGAGAAAGCTAAAAAAAAGCCGTGCCCTTGCTTTTCTCCTTAGGATTCCCCCTTTTAGTCGGTCCCCGACGAAACCTTTTAGTGTGACCAGATGGAGGAAGTTGTGACGGTCATTTTGACTCTTTTAGGTCCAGAAAGGCCAAGAGAGTATCAGTTCCTCCTCTGAAGCCTCCTCCAGATATGGCCACCTCAACTATTCAGAAACCATCCACAGGTAAGGATCATCACAGGAACCTTGGCTTATGTGGTCTAGTGATTTTTTTTTTTTCTTCTTCTTTTTTTCCAGATGAATTATTTTTGTATTTTCATTTTTGGGGGAGGAAGTCTAGGCAATGAATGGTTGATTTTTGGGAGATTCCATTCACTGGTAGTTCGGTATTCTATTGAGTTGAGAATTAAAACCTGACAAATTGGCCATTGTACTTTACATTAATGATCATCAGTAAAGCTGGCATAGTGAAATCAACATAGAAATGGACACAGTGAGTGATTTTACAACAACAAAAGAATAATCAGAAGTCCTCGTAGTTGATTTGAACATCAGCATTTAGTTGTGTTTATCATGCCATGTACTATGAAACTTCATATGACCACATGAGACAAAGGAAGATGAGACATGACTGGTGTGTGAGCCCATGTTGGTAATCATCATTGTTTTCTCTCTCTGATTACTGTTTTGTTTAATTTAACATTCATATCTTTGTCTAAGTATATATGTTTCCAGACACTCATACACACATAGAGAAACATGAACATACAGGTACATGCATATATGTACACATAAATGCTGACATGTCTGAACTACATGCACACATATATGTTCACAAACATGTAAATATAAATGCATGAATGTCTTTAAACATGTGCAGACACATGTATACACACACACACACATACACACACACACACACACACACACACACACACACACACACACACACACACACACACACACACACACACACACACACACACACACACAACACACCACATACACACACACACACACACACACACAACACACACACACACACACACACACACACACACACACACACACACACACACACACACACACACACACAACACACACACACACACACACACACACACACACACACACACACACACACACACACACACACACACACACACACACACACACACACACACACACACACACACACACACACATACATACACACACACACACACACACACACACACACACACACACACACACACACACACACACACACACACACACATACACACATACAACACACACCTACACACATACACATACACACATACACACACACATACACACACACATTACACACACACACGCATACACACACACACGCATACACACACACACGCATACACACACACACACACACACACACACACACACACACACACACACACACACACATACACACACACACATATACACACACACACACACACACACACACACACACACACAACACACACACACACACACACACACACACACACACACACACACACACACACACACACACACACACACACACACACACACACACACATACACACACACACACACACACACATACACACACACATACACACACAAACACACACACACACACATACACACACACACACACACACACACACACACACACACACACACACACACACACACACACACACACACACACACACACACACACACACACACACACAATACACACACATACACACACATACACACACACACACACACACACACACACACACACACACACACACACACACACACACACACACACACACATACACACACACAATTTAACATACTAACACACATACTCATACTCACACCCTCACTCATTTATTTTTTTACTGATACTCACATACTCACACTCACTCCCTCACTCATACTTGTGCATAGAAATTACTGATCATCTAGCTATAGTTCCTATATATCACATCAGCATAGCAGCCATATCTCTCGTTTGTTGCAGAGGATGTGGTTGGTGAATATATAGTGTTGTCGTTGCTATCCATTATTCACACTATATGTGTGTAACATTCTTTATTAGACCTGTTTTTCTATATGATAATGTTAACCCACTAAAGGATGGGTGTCCCACATATGAGACACCTGAACAAAAAATTGCCGGTCATCCCGCCAGTGTGACGCTATATCGGGGCTCGCACTCCGACTCAGCAGCGGGCCGCAACACAGACTTTTATTTTCTGCTTCAAAATATACCGGCGTTAATGGGTTAAGGATGAAATAGCTCCAAAGGAATTTAAAGTCCTTACTATGTATTACATTCCTTGACTGGTTTTATTTGTTTGTTTAACTTCTACATTCCACGCAACAAACAAATAATGAATGTCCTGCTTTCAAGTACTATATGGTATGCCTTTCATGGAGATAGCATGTACGTTTTCTGTCAAGTACTGTGCTAATGCATCAAATTTCTTTAACTTCATGTGTTTTCACAATTTTTAAATTATAGTACAGATGATCAGGTCTGAATATGAACTATGAACACACCTAGTATATATACGTGGAGAGCATCACAAACATTTTAAATTAACCAGTCCGCTATGGAGAGTGGATAGATATTTACCTAACTGTTCAGAGCATTTTATGGTCATCATTCTGCATACTTTTGTAACTCTTTCCACATACAATAATACCAGCTTTCACAACAAAAGACTTTTGGTTGTTATGAAATTCTGTAGCTGAGTGTACATGTGTATATATGTGTATTTAGAATATACACAGCATTGTATACCTGGGAGGAATGCCTCCTAGAAAATTGAGGCAGTCAACATGGAAAAGGAGAGAAGATTAAATCTAAATTTATTACTTTAGTTTCTTGTTACTATACTAAGACAATCTGAGTTGCTTTATCTGAGTTGCTTTCATGTCTACAGGAGATGCACCTCATTCTCTAACATATCCAGTCTAACAGTAAAAATGAGAATTCAGTATCAACCTTGATGGCACTCTCCTCGCCTGTGCATATTCATCTTTCTGTCCCTCTGTGTGTCTATCAGTCTTGTGTGTTCATCCATTAAGGGGATCGTCTACCAATTTTTTTTTTTTTTTTTTTTTTTTTTTTTTTGGCCAAAATCTTCCACCTTGCAGATTTTGTCTTGTACACATTTCCAAAGAATTTCAGGGCATTCAAATATCCCCTTAAAGTTTTAAGGTTGACCCGCAATATATGATTTTTCACCTTACCTTAGCAAATTGGTAATTGTGATGTAATGATTAGATACAATAAAGAAATTAGATTATTTTCATAAAGCTTATAAAATTTCACATAATTTGTTCATAACTTTTTGAATTATCCTGCTAACAAAAAGATAAACAAACAACAAACAGCCAATCAGCAAACAAATGGAGATAACAATATATATAAACATAGGGTCATGGAATACATGGAAATTATCTGTATATACTTATATAGCATATATACATAGTTTTATACCACCCTGTATTTGTATAATTTCATTTTGTGGAAGTGTGAATATGAAATGTGGGTATTTCATTTAGTAGAGTTGCAATGCGTGGGACCCTCGCCTCAAGAACACATGCCCCTGGCAACTTCTCTCATTTGGAGAACGATGATATTTCAGACCAGTATGTGTTGTAAAATGCCAGTAATAAAGGGAAATAGTGGATGATTACATCATATAGAACTATTTCATATATCATTTATTATCCAAACTGTAAAAAGTATGAAGAGGAAAAAAATGTGATATTTCTATACATAGCATATTTACATGTAGCACATGCATTTTTAGTTTGAAATAAACGTATTATGGCTCATATTGTAGGTTAATATTAGATCTATTGCATGGTGCAATTAGTTTTTGCAGTTTATCATATGCTTCTTGTAAAAGTGACATATATATATATAAATCCCCTTTTATGGTGCTCTAAAAGTTGTCTATATAAAATATTCAACAAAAAAAAAGCTAGGTCAAAATTGAAACATATGCTCCTGTCATACAATAGATGAAAGATGGCTCTATTCAGAAATAACATCAGAATACCTGTATTATTTTGGAGGGGACTTTAGAGAAATTTTATAAAATAATCAGTTTATGCTGAGAAATCACCTAAAGCAGTGGGACCCCACCATAAGATAAGTAGTTTGTTATGACAATGATACATACTGGAAATTTTCGCAAGACTTTGGAAAGCAGGTAGATGATAGAGGATTATGTTGTATGAAGATTATTCTTCTATCTTTTATTGTTAATACCAAAATAGTCATGAAAAGATACACAAAATGTCAACAACTTGTTTTAAGAGTATACTTACTTACTCACGAAAGCTCTAGTACACGCATTTTTATTCCTAAATAAACATATTATAGCTCATTTTGGAGATAAATAAAAGATCTGGGGAGTGTTGCAGACATTTTTTTCAATTTTCTACTTTGCGTCAAATAACAGATCTGGGGAGTGTTGCAGACATTTTTTTCAATTTTCTACTGTGCGTCTTATAAAAGTGACATATATGTGAAAAACACTTTTTTAAGTCGTTGTCGTGGTAATTATTCCCCAAGAATATGTGAAGTCAAAATTGAAAAAAGTATCCTCAACATTTGCCAGATTTAGGACAAATCTGTTAAAAAATTATCAGAATGGCTGTGTAATTTTTTTTTTTTTTTTTTTTGGGGGGGGGATTCTTAAAGAATGTTTACTCATTTCTTGTTTCATTGAGTGATTTTTGGGAGATTAAAAGAGAAAAAAGAATTCACAGAGACCTTGCTTGGGTCTAGATATAAGGTTGTTGTTCTCATCAAAATTGGCCAAAAAAAAAAAAGAAAAAAAAA